TCGGGAACTCCTTTTCTTCATGCCATGACATGTATGTTTCTTGGCAACTTTGTTGGATAGTCTAAAATCATGTGAAACAGACTACGAGTTGCATTGGAAGAATGCCAATTATTATATGTTAAAATTTGTTGCTTAAATTTTCACGTCTTATTGGAAATTATCCCAATTTTGATTGCCTCAATTAATCTGTTAAACTTTGTTGGTTAAATTTTCATGTCTTGTTGGAAATTATCCCAATTTTAATAGCCTCAATTAATCTATGAAATTAATTGAGATGATTTATTAGAGCATGACAAAATTATGATTTTGTCCAAGTGGATATTAAGTCATATTAAGTTGCATGCTTAGAATTGTGTCTTTTGTGAACACAATTTTCAATCTGTGTTTGATTCACTTATTCAAGTTGAAATATGGTGAATTAGTATCCATGCTTTGACAAGAATGTTATCTTGTGAAATATAATATATATGATTAATTGCATATGCTTGGAGAAGTTGCAATCAAGTTGCTTTGACTTCTACATTGATCGAATTTGACTTCAATCTTGAAACCAATTGAATTGGTTTATGCTTGGAAAACATTATTGGTCTATGTGATGACCTTGATCAAATTGTGTGTAGTCAAAATTAAAGATAGCTGGATTGAAGTACATTGTGACTTAACAACCACTATCTGAAAGTACTTAGATTTCACGGAAGAGTCCATACGGATATTGTCTAAGTAATAAGTGAATTGAACTATGTTAGAGTTTATGAACTCTAAGTTCAAGTATAACCCAAAAATGTGGGGGGTTAATATTGGTGTTTTTGAACTTATATGAGAAAGTTCAAAACTTGTGAATTCAATTTTACTAGGATATATATATTCCTAACTAAGAAATTGTGGGGGTAACTTAGTTTAAAAGTTAAAATTCTCTATATCTTATAGTCATAGAAGAATGTCTATGAGGTGAAAAGGTAGAAAGCCCTTATATTATTATAAGGATGATATACACTAAGTCTAAAGTGGATGTGATGGGTTGAAAAGTCAATTAATGGCATTTGTTTGAATATGTAAGATCAACTAGAATATTTAAAGAATATTCATAAAGTTGAATGTATTGTGAAGTTTCAATAAAATATTGAATACCTATGATTCTGAAATCCACTAGTAAAATTGATTGATTAAGTGTAGCGTTTGATGGAGACCTCAAACCTAAGAAGATTTCTAAGTAGGTGACATTTGTATCTATCAAATGAATCGATCATTGGCTAGCTATATGATAAGATACTAAGTCATTAATAATTAAAATCTAGACTTATGAGTCTAAAATGTGACTGCATAAGGAAATTAATCAAGAGTGGAATAATTTCCATAAATTATGTCTAATCAATAGAGAACATAGCGGATGCTTTAACTAAATCTCTAAAATAAGAGATTTTGTTATATCTACTTTCGAGTAGGACGGAGTTGAAACTCTTAAAATAGAAAGATCCACCAATGATGACAACCCTACCAGTCATTAGTTAATCCAGGGGTTCAAATGGTAACAACAAGTCATTCGATATGTGGATTGTTTCAGCATAATTGATATCCGCGATAACCATATCCTAGTAATAATAATGCTGGA